TAGGCGTGCAATGGCAGTGACCTTTTCGTTACCTTCATGTCGCGTGGAAGACAAAGCTTATGTCTAGCTTGGAGCCTAGCTTGGTAGCATTTTACACTCTGTGACGGACCGTTAAAAGCTATTGCCTGAAGCCTCTGTTGGGGACGATCTCGTCTTCCGAAGAAATTCGTTGCGTTTCAGCCCATTTCCCGTCCATCACTGTATCTCATTTCCTTTATCACCTACCACTAACGACCGGTTAACAGCCCCATAAAATAAAAAAAAAACAGGCAAACAAGCTCATTTCCAGCGTTTCCGCATTGCAGGCCGTTCGGGATCTCAGGATCACGTGTGTCCAGGGCAGAGTGCAGGGGCTGACTCGCACGAGGGCTACTGCCATCCGAATCCGTTATAATGGGTTCGGTTTGTTTTCATATTGTGCCGAACGGTAAACATACAATACTGGCGCTATCAGCATGAGCGGTTATGGTACGTGCACTGACCGAACCCCGTGCTCGCTGAACCGACCGCGCCCCGCGCCGGCTACACCCACAGGTGGGAAGCAGTCAATGCCAGGCCACCAACCGGTCACTTACATTAATAACGGCGGCCGCTTCCGCCAGCAGGGCATGATGTGGCGCATTCCGCGTCGTCGTTGCCAGCGCTCTAAACGCTGGGCAGGCGAGGCGGCCAAGGCTTCACTGCGGCCGCATGTAATCGCCTGTGCTGCGCAAGGTTTCGGTGTTTTCACTTCGCACGGAGCTTGGATGTCGGCCTTGTCCGTCGCTGCCGCCTCAGCCGCCTTCCAGCACGTACCAAGAGCCGTGCGGGCCCATCTTGGGGCCCTGGGCGGTCCCCGCTGCAGCGACGACGTGTGCTAGGATTGTGCGCGTTTTGAGAGACCGCCTGGTCGGACCCAGGGCGATAAATTTTGTTTGGGTGAAAGCAACGCTGATAGCAATCGTGCATTTTCAGTACATGTGAGAACGTTGGTAGTTGTCTACAGAGGACTTATAACAAAAGCAAACAAAAACAAGCGTTGAACTGTGTTTTGGGTGGCTTTGAACTTATTACATGCAGTGTAACGGCCAGGCTCAGACTGCCGGGTCGTAGAGGGCAAATCACACTTTTGCAGCGCGTGTCATGCTTGCCATTCCGCACTTGGGTCGTGGTCGGTGAACGGCACTGAACCCTGCTGACCTCTTCTTACCTCTACTGACCGCTGCTGAGAGATGAGACGTCCCGCCGCAGGTCACGACCCCCATGTAATGCATCATTGTTTAATCTTGTTTATACAACTTGGAGAAATGTTCTGCCGGGTGATTTTTCATGCTCTTTACCCGTCAGCTATATCAAAGCTCGGTTCCAAAATATTTGTGCTTGTACACGACAAAAAGATTGACAGTGAGCAAATCTGGTCATTTATTACGGTGTCGACAAGGCATCCCAGCGCCGCGCTGCCTGCTTCATGATCACGCGGTCCACACCCTCCCTCCAGGTCTGCACCAGCACCGTTGATGGTGCGGCCCTAAGCGAAGCCAACCGCTCTTTGATTTGATGCGTTTAGGCTGGGTAAAGCGACTACTGCATGAACTGGATCAATTTGATCCAGGCGAAGAGGAGTACGTAACGCGCTGTTGCTGCGTTGATCCTTCTCTGCGTGACCACTAGGCAAAAGCAAGTTTTCAGCCCCTGTCACACGTTGACATTGCGTACAACTCTGGTCGAACTGGCGGGGAGGGTCATGAGAAGATGGCCGAGTTTGACGACTTCAGGGACGGTTCCCGCACGCTGTGCCTCCCGTTGTGGAAAACGGACAGGAGAAGGGGTATAAGTTAGGCACCAGGGGGCTGTATTTGCCCCCTTGACAGATGGGAACGGGTGGTTCTCCCTTGCCGCTCTGGTGGCGCTAACCCTGGGCGTCTCCGTAGGGAGACATGAATGAAACTGTGTCCGTTCAGGTTAAATGAGTGATATCTTACAACATGATTAACTTAAAACAAAGCCCATTCGAAGCTGCATGTTTTGACTTGTACTATGTATTGAAAAACCGTGCCCGGCGGATGGGGACATTTGTGACCTCTTACAAATTTGCCAGCGCGTTGCGAAAATAAAACGACGCAATGTCCGCGAAATCTTCAGCACCATTTTTTTATGCACGTATCCAAAATCTTTCTCGTGGGCGGACGATTGGGTGGGGACTGACGTTAAATGTCCTTCGAAAGCTGCAAGCCTGGACCCAATTTCTGCGAAATCGCCCAGTACCTACCGTAAACCTCTTGGCTCAGCCGCCTTGTTCCCGTTCCCTTTTCCTTGGCTTCGTCCCAATATTTCCTGGGATCTTTTCCAATGCTTTCCGCAGTTGTCAACGCCATTGCAACTTAGGTCACGGACAGAGGCTGGATTAAAATAAGCATAAACTTTCTATTACTGTACCTCGCTTTAGAGTTACACATTTGAAGTGTTGAGCTAATAACGTAAATCACATTTCAGTTGTTGTATTAAACTTCTGAAAGACGCTTCGGGAATTGAAATATGCAAAGCCTATGATGAATGTGCCCGATTAGCAATGATGCAGAAAATACGGAGCCAGTCAATCTTGGACAATAATCTGAAGCAGGCTTCTGCCAGTCTGATCAACCACTCCCGGAATACTGATCTTAAGTCATTTCGCTACAAGTAATAACACCATGGAATACTTTAAGAGCAAACCAAAGCAGTAAATTCGCATGTAACACATAACGGGACACATCTGTAATGTTCACAACTTTGTTAACTTAGTTATGAGAGTCTAATTCTTAGACTTCAACCTCAGACCGATTTCAACCAACGCAGTAACTTGCTTTGATCCTCAATATTTTCTCCGGGAACAAAACGGATCATATTGCAACCGAAGCTTAAGATTTCGCGAATACCGCGGGGACGACCCCGCGGCTGAGCCTGGCTGAGACCTCTTCATTTCAAGCTGAAGCTTTATCACATAAACGCTGTTACAAAGACGATTGGTCGAGAATTGACCGAGCTTTATCTCACCAACACTTTTATAAAGATGATCAGTCGAAGATTTAGTGACATTAGATTAATGCATACTTTTAAAAACAAAATTCATTTAACTGGTCGTACAAATGGTCATTTATTGGGTACGGTAATTGGTGGAGCAAATTTTATATGCTGATGCTATCATTGAAGGCACCTATCTACATAAGTAGACATAAGTAGACATATCTACATGAGTCTTCCAGGTGCGCAATTTGGAGAACGATTTAGTCCAAATTTTTTGAATGGATGGATTCCTGGCATCAAAACTCACGCTCAGCGTTGCTCGTTTTGTGAGCGCTGACCGCTATCATGCGATCGTGCAATGCCAGGTCAACGGCAGACTTTGGTGACTTTGAAGTTTAAGTGCAGCAATGCTCGGCATGGTAAGTCCTGCACTCCGACGTCTCCTGACCTTTAGCGCGGCCGCTGCCATCGGCCGCATCGGTGCACGCTATCAGTGTGTCATCCGGGCTACACAGTTCCAATTTTGCACCTACAAGCAATGTTTTCTGGGCCATATTGCAGCAGCAAGAAAAGAAGACATTTTGACGGTACCATATTTCGAAGTGCAATACAGTAGTTCACGGGTGACTTAGGAAATTATGCATGCGAGTTTTTGTGATGCAACTCAATTTATTCCCGTGACTAAATTTGCGTGGTTTGTAAATATTTTCAAATTCAAAACTTACGCGCGTGAAACTTTATATGCAATCGGTCACTTGATGTAAAACGATGAGCCAGTAAGGTACAGGATAAATGCCAGTTAAATTCATAAATTTGTTTCGGATATAGTCGATATGTGTCGCAACGGTACTTGCTTTTTTTACCAAGGAGTTAATCAACCGTAGTTTTTCATCCTCGACGTCACATTTCTCTCATCAAAGATCCTTGCTGCGTCCGCTTAACTGGTTAGGAATCTGGGATCAGCCCCAAGTGGGTGGGCGGACGAATTTCTTGCCTTACTAATGGGAAGGGAAAAACAAGATTTGCGCTGTGCTGAGAAGGAGCTACGACGCTGCGATTCCCGCCGGTACGGAGAAACAAACGCCCGCCCACGTTTGGAGGGCGAGCGATTGCAGCCATCTGGATTTTTTTCGGGTCAAACCCCGAAAGGCCACTGTTGAATTTTCAGAAGGTTGCGAGTCTCAGCCCCCGCCCCATGCCTTGCGGTGATGCAACTTAACAAACATGACGAATTTGCATAGCAATGCTTATTTACAATACCAACATGTATTAAACGCATGATTTCTCATTTATCTTTTTTATTTCAGTGTCGTGATAGTTTTGCAACCTTGTCCCCGCCATCAAAAATTGCTGGCGCCACCCGCACACTGAGGATTCACCAGAATGTGTTTTTGAAACATACGCCGAAGGTTGAACACTCCCTTTAACCCCCTCGTGCCTCCCTCAGCCTACATTCACCTCAAGTTCTAGCATGTTTACGCTCTGCAATTAATCCAATGTTCTATACGTTAGTTCTTCCCAAAAAGGTTACCCGAAAGAGCCAAAGCTTTAGTTAGAGCAGTTGCCTTCTTTTGGCTCTTGTGAGCCCTGGCAGTCATCCAAAAGGGCATGTGCTGCAGCGGCAGCAGCTCGGTTCCACCCAAGGTTTCTACGACCTTTCTCACCCCGCAGCACGGCGCGCCGGCCACCGACGCAGCCGCGGAGAACACGGCGCAATTGGGGGCTGACAACGATCGCCCCGCCCCGGGCGCCCGCCCTGCCAGACCTCCAAGGTCGTCACCAATGAGGAAGCGTTTAGCCGTGTGCGTGCACGGTCACGTGGTCCACGGCCGGTGGCGCAGTTCGTGCCGCCGCCGCCGTCGCCGAGCCGCCGCGTCAGGGTCATTGCCAAGGCGTCATTCCCCGGCCCGCTGATTTAGAGCGCGTGATCGTCGTGTGTGACGAATGGGTGAGCTTTTTTGCAACCCGGGTCGGGCCAACCTATGCAGTCCGGAGAGGAAAGTCACATCTGGTCTATTTGGTCCGGCAAGTATCACAGTCACCGGCCAACAGTTGCGGTGCAATAGAAATGGTTTCGGAATCCACACAACCACGAAGGAGAGGGAAGACTGGCGCCTGCATCGGAAGTTAGGACAGCAGGGACTTCTGCAGGCCGGCAAAAAAGCATTGCAACAAAATATTGTCGTATGGGTTGTTGCAAGTACGCTGCATTTGTAGCCTTAAACCTGGACATCAGCCGATCAGCACACAGGGGCAGATCCAGCCCGGAGTTTTTTGGGGGAGGAGCTGCCGTTCGTCGCCAGCTGGCTGCTGTGGGATCCGTTGGACCTCGGATAGTGCAGCCCAGTGCGAAGTTAAAACAGACGGTAAGTAGACGAAACTTTTATGAAGTTCTGGGAATGTTTTTTGGGGGGAGGAGCCAAAACATACGATCAGAGTTTTTGGGGGGGGCCATGGCCCCGTGCCCCCTTCCCCCTCCCCCAGGATCCGCCTATGTCAGCCCACAGTATTTCTGTTCTTAGCAGCGTTCTCCAACCTCGTCACTTGTGTCGGCGGATTAGCATGTGTTCTCTGCGCTCATGTTTGTTTCATTAACACACTTTGGATTGGATACTTTGTCGAAAGTTCTGGGACCATCCCGAAGTTTTTCTCGTTGCGGGAGGCATGACGGGGCGCAGTTACAGCGCGGTAGCGCAATAACTTCTAGTAGGCAAGGGAGAGTTTTGCCTACGCAACTTGCAGATGCCACAAAAGAACATCTTTCTGCGTGTCATGCAGCATCACAACAAGGCAAGCACGTGGCAACTTTGCTCCCAAGTTCTCCCAAGCTAGGAAACTTGGATGTCAGTTGTGCTGTTTCGGCAGGCAGACAATATGGTTGTTTCTTTTAAGTAAACCAGAGGACTTCAAGGCTCGAAGAAAAACCAGTGGTACCCATGTGCATGGGTAACAGGTTGGAGTGCGCACTGGTTTGGAAGAATTCTGGGTATGGTTGCGATCGTGGCTAAAACTTTCACGAAATTTCAGGTAGATACCTCAAGAAATACTATGCAATGTTGTTGCTTACACTTTCTGGTCATAAACAGCTCGATTCACACTAGTTTTGTAATTATTAACAAAAAATGCCGTTGAGGTGTTTTCTTTAGTTTGCATAATCTAGCACTAAAATGCTTCAAAAAATATAAGCGAGTGGGTGACCGGTGGGTACCGCTCATGGTGCATGAGTGGCAGGCAGGTATGGGCACAACCCCTGGGTTCGAGTGAATTAGGTTAACAGAGGCAGAACATTACCAGTGACCGGTTGCACGGTCAACGCCCAAATGACCTTTGATGAACTGCCAGAGAGTTGAGGTTCAGCCCCCATCCCTAACGGGTCCACTTGTTCCGGTGTCCCGTTCCATTGCACTAATTTTTATTGGGTAGAAAATTTCAGGAGCATCACAAAGCGCCCTAAGCCCTTTATTTTCAAGAGACACGAAATTCCGGGGCTTCAGAGAAGGCCGAAAAACTTTACTTACAAGTAGCACAATACAGGGACGCCAATACATAAATTGGAAAATGGAATAAATGGAACCCAAGGGCTTTCGGGTGCACCAAATTCCAGACGGCACCAAAATCCCGCGTGATCCTGACCGTGACGAAATGCTGGATCCATCCTATGCAAAGCGACCTAATTCTCATAAAGGTTTGTGGCGGAGGGCCTCACCTTTTTTGGCTTTGCACTTTCAAAGATAAAAGAAGGTGGAAAAGCGTGTCCATCATAACCGTTTGATTGTATTTTCACAAACCCCCTCGCGTTCGGAGCACCCTACCAGAGCAAATACAGCGGCCATGCGAAATGTCTCGGATAGGTTTCAACACCACGCAAGGTCCACGGGTAAACGTGAACAGCCACGGAAACAATGTTTTTACGTGGCGAGCTGGAGAGCTGTCTGACTTACCTGCGACAGACTCTGAGCCATTCCCTTCTTTGGTGTTTCCATATCCATGGCGGCGCCTCGTGAAGAGGGCGGTTTGTCATAGGCCATTCATCCCCATTATTCCCTGCCCGTATTTCGTGTGAATTCAAAATGTCATCGGGTTTATCGACAGAGCCAGAAGTTATGTAAGTGACTGACTTCTTACTAAACAAAGGGCATTTCTTCTACCCGTAAGTCCATGCTCTCCTACAGGAACATCGTGGAAAACCATGTTCTCTGCATGCTGCCAAGTGTCTGAAACATTTATCTGTGTTGCGGGGATGCCTGTGGAGGCTGCAGGAAAAGCTGCTCTACGCATACCAGCCCGCACGTTCATAATGGAGTCATATGCCGTTTGTGGTCGTCGGAATGACCGATTACTTTATTTGAGGTGGACCTTTGCCGTATACGACCACTTAAAACCCATGTCCTGGCGTTTTGTGACTTTTAGGTCGCAGTTTATGCTCCGTCTTACCGAGTTTAAACTTAGTTTTTGCAACTCTGACCGCATAGGATGCATATATATATATATATATATATATATATATATATATATATATATATATATATATATACTTGCCGTCAAAAGATACATGCGTGTGATTATACACCAGCCTATGTCGACAAGTGCATCAAATTAGATAGACAAGAGCAATATCACCTTTCATGAATCGATAATACGCATTGATATGCGTCAACACGTTAAAAGTAGGCGCAATTGCGTTTTTCCTCGTGCAGTGACACGTCACGTTGTAAGGTGTTCACACATCAACACGTCAACACGTGCATGTCCTTTGCCAACCTTGGTGCACGTCCTTGGTATAGAATCCTTTCCTTGTAATCCTTATTCATTTCCGCACGAAACGGTCAAGTTGTGCACCATATATTCGGAGAAGTCGGGGAAACATAGATAAATGTGCCAAAGGAATTCAGGATTTTAAGATGAAATTCTGCTTTAAAGACGCTTTCGTTGCAAGAGACGCTTTATTCATATTGTTCAGACGACCTTCTGGAAATTGTGGGCACAAACTGGGGTTTTCAGCTTTAAATAGCCGTTTTTACAAAATGCTTCCGTCCAACGGGAACAGAATTTTTGCTGTGAGATATTGTAATCCGTCAGTTGCTGATATATATTTTACGACATTACTGACCTTTAGCCAAAGCGTGTTTCCTGAAGGCATTGTGGTAAATTGATATTGTTTTAGATTGTATGAGAGCTTGCAATTTTTCAATTCTATCAAAATCCGTCAGTCATGTTCTTGGAATTCAAAGGATGTAACGCAGACTATACGAATCTCAGAGCAAGTATTATATCATCTCGTTTTCACTATGCCATTACCAAGTACCAATGCCGTGAATTAAGACATGTGTCATCGACCTGTTTAAAATCCGGTTCTATGACACTCAGCAGGAGGTGTGACAGCACCGGTTTTAAGCATTAAGGGGTACCGGCCGCCTTGCGGTCTGTGATAACATCAGCTCTTGAATCCGTGTACAGCGGCAAACCAACATTTTAGAGTTGAATGGAATCCTCCATATTTAAATATACTGAAGCAGGCATTGGATTTGATGAAATAAGCTATCTTATGACTATAAGTATACTTTTAAATGGAAACGACTGCTCGAGACTACGCAACTTCTTTGGTTAGTAAGTATACGCCATTGTTTGCAAGTATACGCCATTAGTAACTGTACGACATACGCTCAATACGCCCTTGTTTAATTGCGTCATCGTGCATTGCACAGCACTAGATGAGGGCTAATTGAGGTCGTGATATCAGGAAATGGCGCTCACGAACGCCAGACATGAACGACAAGACAATCAATTTCTTTACTTGGCTTTGGTCACCGCTTGGCTTTAAGAATAGTAGGATTTACCTGACGTTGCCATGAGATGATGACTGCCTGGGTGACCTTGAAAAGGTCCCAGAAAAAATATGCACATCTTTGCGGGCATGTAGCTCACAAACTAGAGGGGCCTAGGTCTTAAGAAGGGCAGATCCATGAACTGCACCGAATGATCTTCAAAGCTGCTGTTTCAGTTAGAAACAACACACAAATGCGAAACACTTGCATAAAGCAAGTAAGCATTTAGAGAGAAGTACATCGTCGAGTCTGACCAAACCAGCCAGCGAAGCAAACTCCAGCCACGCAGCGAAACGTAACAGCAGGTGGAACTCAGTTTCCGAAACCAACAGCACATCTTTGCTAACTCATGTGCGGGACCGAGCTACCCTTCCATTTGGTCCAACCGACCCTAGATGAAATATCACTGCGAGCTCGGGCCCCTTCTTTATGATCGGTATCCCCTTAATGATCTGTATTCCGCGCGCGGTGACGCTTGCGGCGCGGGTTGCGCTGTGACGTCATAACCGTGTGGGGGTCGGTTCCAGCCCAGGGCGTCTCGCCGGCCCCGATATAAGCGGGTGCGGGCAATTGCTCTGCAGTCAGTTCTGCCGCAACAGCAGCGTCACACCTTCGCCATGGCCTTCAAGGTAAGCCAACCCAGTACAGCCTGCCCGGGTTTGGAAAACGCGCCCTCAATTTGATTGCTTGCTTGTTTCTACAAAGTTTGTCAACTTTTCTGATTACTGCACCGGTCTTCACGTATATTTGCCAAGCACGTATGCAAGCTCAACCTGTCCATGTCTGCCTTTTGCCTTCGCTTATGCAAAAGCGGTCAGCATGCGAGAGTCAGTCCGTTTGGGGCTGTTCAATTGTTACGTTATGCAGCGATAGAGATAGGGGCTTTGATGGAGGGTACCAGACGCCTACCAAGATGCAAAGAGTTTGAGCAGAGGAACGTCACGCTCGTGTGCGGCTGAAAATCATGCCATAAACTTTCTTAACGTTTTAAAACCTTAAAAGTACGGTACATGGCTTTCTCTCATGATGGGCAGGACACCGGATTTTGTAGTCCACCTCTAGCTCCATTAGGGATCAAATAAACGCTAACTTTTTGGAATGTTACACTTAACACAGGGCATCCAGGATAGGGGTTTTTGACCACCGTAACAGTGGGTAACCATGTAAGGACGTTCGCAGGGGAATGGAAACGACGAAAATGCGTGACCGAACGGCATTTACGCCAACGATTTCGCTTAACGCCGCCTGCCACGTGCACTACTCGGCCGCGCTCTCCCAGTTCCGGCCGACCGTGCCTCTGACGTCACTGGTACACTCCGACAGCTGATCGTGGTCGCCCTGTGCGCCTTTGTCGCCTCGGTCAACGCCAGCTTCGGCTACGGCGCCGGCTACGGCTACGCGGCGCCGGCGGTGCTGGCGCGGTCGTACGTGACCCCGCGGGCCGTCAGCGGCTACAGCAGCGGCGTCACCCACGCCGTGGCGGTGGAGAAGCACACGGTGGCGACTCCGCTGGCGTACGGGTACGTTGACGTGATGACGTGTGGTACGGCGACGACGTGGAGTCGAGCGGCAACCGCGGCTGGCGTCTCACTGGCTTGTAAGGCGGAGTCAGACGCGGGCTGTGGGCAGTGGTGCGGGCCTCACCCAGCTTAATAACACTGCAGCCCATGTTGATCGTCACCGTGCAGGCGGTGAACTGGGCTGGCCTCGAAGCGCGACTCGTGCCTCGGTTACACGGCAGTTGGTAGGCGGCGACACAGCTTCGCAGCCCCGTGGCCAAGCGTGCGCTTCCCGTTGACCGTGCTGGCTTGCGTCACTTTGTCGTTACTCAGTTGCGCGTTACGCAGTTGCGCGTTACGCTGGTACGCCGGTCACTCCGCAGGTACCGCGCTCATGGCTACGCGGCGCCGGCCGTGGTGGCCAAGAGCTACGTCGCCCCTGCTCACGGATATGCTGCGCCGGCCGTCGTCGCTAAGACCTATGCCGCCCCGGCGTATGGCTACGCTGCCCCGGCCTATGGCTACGCTGCTCCGGCCTATGGCTACGCTGCCCCGGCCTATGGCTACGCTGCCCCGGCCTACGGCTATGGTAAGGCACATAGGTGGCAAGTTTGGCACTGTGAGATGATGCGTTGCGGGATACGTTTATTTCTGTCGGGTCCAGCGTCATCTGCTCAATAGTTCTATGGCTGAAAAGGTATTGTCCTTAAAACACGTATTGGTTTCCCAATACCTCAGCTATATCAGCTGCTTGTGACCTAACTTTCTTCGTCCATACAGCACTCCGTGTGTTTTCCAGGCACTTTTCCAGTTTCCGTTGCAAAAAATGCAACTAGGTCTCCGCACAAAACGATGTTGAACTTCAAGGCAGGACATAAGTTACTAGTATTGAAAGATACGTTGTAGATCTGTGTCCCCGTTTCAGCTGTATTTTGGATCTGCGTTCTCGTGTTTGCTGAATTGTCGTTCTGTTTCCCGTGCTTGTGACAGCTGTTCTGTTTTGCGTGTTGCAGGATTTAATGTTTGTTAGTCACCAGTTTTTCGTTTGATGTATTGTATATCACATGCAATCTACATTTTCAAGTAGCATATATAAACCATATATACACATATATCATCATCATGTCTTTACAGTGTTGTATAAATTACTATTGGACGCACCTAACCTTCGCCCAGGTAGTCAGTAATATATAACGGGCGTTGTCACTCCGTTTTCAGTGCACTGAACACCACGGCGGACCTGGCCGCCTCGTCTAGAGTCCATGCCCGTCTGCGCCCCATCGGCCTCTCGGGCGGGACTGAGCGAGGCGGACGACGTTGCGCGCGGAACTCGACTCCACACCCTCGCCGATGTTCCGTCGGCCAGTTTGTGCTCAATCAAAACACGTACTGTTGTGTGTTCAGCAACTGTGCGACCGCACAGTGGCTGTTGTCTGTTCAAATGCACGTGAATACATTCTCACTGCGCGTTGGTTGCCTAGTTTGCCGACTGAGTGCAGAACAAGCCGAAAGTAACGAAAAAAAACTGGCTCATGGACAACTCGTACGCGTTGGGGAAGGGGCAGAGCCGCGGGAGTTCCCTCCCGTGGCCAACGTGAGATCCGGCCGCAAAAGTCCGTCACATCACCGTCCTGAAGAGGTATCAACACAAATGTACTTGCGTTAGCACGGACACAACTATTTACGACCAGCGACGCAACCAGAGTCTTGGTAAAGGGAGGGGCAGAAGATTAACTGAGGCCTCCTGATGATGAAAGTCCCCCCAAAATAACCACCATGTATTATCCATATTCAACGTTTTTGTTCTGGAAAAGAAACCAGAAACCACCGTAAAATGAACTTAAGTTTTTAGATTTGAAGTAAGTTAACTGGAGAACGGCAGCGTACAATGGCTGCGCGGAATAACTCGCGCGTAATAAATTTCTTCCACTTTTTTGTCATAATGAGCTTAATCCACGCTAACTTTACAACTATCAACGCAGAGATTTAGTCTAGGTTCTAACTTTATTTTGCATAATATAACATTAAAGTGCAGACAAAATCCAAGTGTGTCGGTGACCGATGGGCACTGTTCATTATATATCAGTGGCAGGTTGGTGCAGGCACAACCCCTGGGTTCGAGTGAATTAGGTAAACAAAATCAGAATACTACCAGCGACCGTTTGTGCGGTCAGCGCCCATATATATGAGCTTTGATAACTTGGCAGTAAGCTGAGGCTCAGCCTCGTCCCCAACGGGTCCACTCACTCCGGTGCCCCGTCCCACCATACCTATTTCTATCGGGTACCAAATTTTAGATGTATCGCAAAGAGCGTTAACCCCTTCCGTTCCAAGGGACACCAGATTTTAGGGGCAACACGGAAGGCCAAAAAACTTCATTTGCAAGTAGGCAAACCCAGGGCCGCCAACACATGAACTTGAAAACGAAATAGAAGGAATCCAAGCGTCTTCGGCGCACCAAATTCCAGAGCGCACCAAACTTACGTGATCCTGGCCGTGACGAGGCTTCAGATTCACCCAGCGCAGTATTGTCTAATTCTGATTAATGTTCACGGTGAGGGCCTCACCCCGTTTGACTGCACGCCTCTGAAGACTCAGAGAGTAAAGCGTGTCTATATTAACCATCGGACTGCGTTTTCAGAGATCGCCTATTGTTCGGAGCACCCTACCAGAGTGAATACAGCGGCCATGCGAAACGTCTGGGAACGGTCTCAAAACTACGCAAGGTCCACGGGTAAACGTGAACCACCACTGGAACAATATTTTTACGTTGCGAGCTGGCGAGGACATGTCAGAGTTATTTGTGACAGAATCTGACTCATCCCCTTGTTTGGTGTTCCAATATCCATGGCGGCGGCTCATGGAGAGAGCGGTTTGTCGTAGGCCACTCAGTTCCAGTCTTCCTCGCCATTATATCGTGTGGATTCTAGACGTCATGGGGCTTATAGGCAGAGCCAGAAGTTACATAAATGACTGACGTCTTACTAAACGTTGGGCATTTCATCCACCCGTAGGTCAACGCTCTACTACAGGAACATAGTGAAAAACCAAGTCATCGCCATACTGTCGAGTGTATGAAATATTCTTGCGTGTTGCATGGATGCCCGCAGAACCTGCAGGAAAAACGGCGCTTTGCGTATCTGCCCACAAGTTCATGATTAACTCATATTTCGTTTGCGGCCGTACGGAAGATCGATTAGCTTATTTGAGGTGAGCTTTTGCCATATACCGGCCAGTTAAACCCAATGTTCCGGCGCTATTGTGACTATGAGGTCGCAACTTATCTTACGCCTTTCTGATAGCGACATTCGTTTCTGCAACTCTGACGGGATATTATATATATATATATATATATATATATATATATATATATATATGTGTGTGTGTATGGATGTGTACACCGTCACAAATGTACACGTAAGTTATTATACACCACCCTATGCTGACAAGTGCTTCAAGCGGTTGTCGGCATCGGCCTGTTTGAATCTCCGTTTCTGTGAATCTTAGCAGCAGATGTGAAAGCACAAGATTTAGCATTATTGGGTGCCGGCCACCTTCTTGTCTGTGATATCAGCTGGTGAGCCCGTGTACGGCGCAGAACCAACATTTTAGAGCTAAGGCAATGCTCTGCATTTGAGGATATTCTAGCAGGTACCAGGTTTGAAGAACTAAGCTCACTTACGATTTTTGTATGTTTTTTATGAAAACAAGTGCTCAAGACAACACAGTTTCTTTGTTTATTAAACATGCTCATCAATACGCCATTGTTTGATTAGTCATTGTACTTTGCACAGCACTGAGTGAGGGCTAACTGACGGCCGTGATGACAGGAAATGCTGCTCGTGAACGCTAAATATGAATGCTTTGATGACCTTGGAAAAGTCCCCCCGAAAAGGTTCGCACATCTTCGTGGGTGTCGCTCAAAAACTAGAGGGGCTTAGGTCTTACGACGCGCATGACTGTGAACTGCCCCAAATGATCTTTAAGACTGCTTTTCAGGTCAAAGCTCCACACAAATGCGGAACACGCCCTTAAAGCAAGTAGGCATTCAGAGAAAAGCTCATTGTTGAGCTTGAACAAACCCAACAAAGCAAACTCCAGCCAGACAGCGAAACGTAACAGCAGGTGGAACTCAGTTACCGAAACCAGCGGCACATCTTTGCGAACTCATGTGCGGGACCGAGCTACTCTCCCATTTGGTCCAACCGACCCTAGACGAAATATCACTGCAAACTCGGGCCCCGTCTTTATGATCGGTATCCCCTTAATGATCTGTATTCCGCGCGCGGCGACGCTTGCGGCGCGGGTTGCGCTGTGACGTCATAACCGTGTGGGGGTCGGTTCCAGCCCGGGGCGTCTCGCCGGCCCAAATATAAGCGGGCGCGGGCAATTGCTCTGCAGTCAGTTCTGCAGCAACAGCAGCATCACACCTTCGCCATGGCCTTCAAGGTAAGCCAACCCAGGTACAGCCTGCCCGCGTTTGGGGAACACGCCCTCAATTTGATTGCTTGCTTGTTTCTACAAAGTTTTGTCAACTTTTCCTATGACTGCATCGGTCTTCACGTATTTTTGCCAAGCACGTATGCAAGCTCAACCTGTCTATGTCTGCCTTTTGCCTTCCCTTATGCAAAAGCGGTCAGCATGCGAGAGTCAGTCCGTTTGGGGCTGTTCGATTGTTACGTTATGCAGCGATAGAGATAGGGCCTTAATGGAGGGTACCAGACGCGTACCAAGGTGCAGAGAGTTTGAGCAGAGGAACGTCACGCTCGTGTGCGGCTGAAAATCATGCCATAAACTTTCTCAACGTTTTAAGACTTTAAAAGTACGGTATATGGCTTTCTCTCATGATGGGCAGGACGCCGGATTTTGTAGCCCACTTCTAGCTCCATTAGGGACCAAAAAAACGCCAACTTTTTGAAATGTTGCGCTTAACACAGGGCATCCAGGATAGGGGTTTTTGACCACCGTAACAATGTGTAACCATGTAAGGACGTCCGCAGGGGATTGGAAACGACAAAACTGCGTGACCGAGCGGCATATACGCCAACGATTTCGCTTAACGCCCCCTGCCACGTGCAATACTCGGCCGCTCTCTCCCAGTTCCGGCCGACCGCGCCTCTGACGTCACTGGTACACACCGACAGCTGATCGTGGTCGCCCTGTGCGCCTTTGTCGCCTCGGTCAACGCCAGCTTCGGCTACGGCGCCGGCTACGGCTACGCGGCGCCGGCGGTGCTGGCGCGGTCGTACGTGGCCCCGCGGGCCGTCAGCGGCTACAGCAGCGGCGTCACCCACGCCGTGGCGGTGGAGAAGCACACGGTGGCGACTCCGCTGGCGTACGGGTACGTTGACGTGATGACGCGTGGTACGGTGACGACCTGGAGTCGAGCGGCAACCGCGGCTGGCGGCGCACTGGCTTGTAAAGCGGAGTCAGACCCGGGCCTGTGGGCAGTGGTGCGGGCCTCATCCAGCTTAATAGCAATGCAGCCCAAGCTGATCGTCACCGTGCAGACGGTGATCTGGTCTAGCCTCGAAGCGCGACTCGTGCCTCGGTCACACGGCGGTTGGCGGGCGGTGACACAGGTTCGCAGCCTCGTGGTAAAGCGTGCGATTCCGGATGTCCGTGTTGGCTAGCGTCACTTTGTCGTTTCTCAGTTACGCGTTACGCAGTTGCGCGTCACGCTGGTACGCCGGTCACTCCTCAGGTACCGCGCTCATGGCTACGCCGCGCCGGCCGTGGTGGCCAAGAGCTACGTCGCCCCTGCTCACGGATATGCTGCGCCGGCCGTCGTCGCTAAGACCTACGCTGCCCCGGCCTATGGCTACGCTGCCCCGGCCTATGGATACGCTGCCCCGACCTATGGCTACGCTGCCCCGGCCTATGGCTACGCTGCCCCGGCCTACGGCTACGGTAAGGCACATAGGTGGCAAGTTTGGCACTTTGAGATGAGGCGTCGCGTGATACGTTTAGTTCTTTCGGATCGAGCGTCAGTTGCTGAATAGTTCTAAGGTTGAAAAGGTATTCTCCTGAAACTACGTATTGGTTTCCCAATACCTCAGCTAAATCAGCTTCTTATGACCTAACTTGCTTTGCCCATACAGTACTCCGTATGTTTTCCAGGCACTTTTCCAGTTTCCGTTGCAAAAAATGCAAATGGGTCTCCACACAAAACGATAGCGAACTTCAATACAGGACAAAAAAATACTAGTTTTGAAGTATACGTTGTAGTTCTGTGTCCCCGTTTCTGTCGTATTTTGGATCCGTGTTCTCATGTTTGCTGAATTGTCGTTTTGTTTCCCGTGCTTGTGACGGCTGTTCTGTTTTGCGTGTGGCAGCATTTGATGATTATTAGTCACCAGTTTTTCGTTTGGTGTATTGAATTTCACATGCAATCTACATTTTCAAGTAGCATATATAGAATATATATATATATATATATATATACATACATACATATATCATCATCATATATTTAATGTTTATATAAAGTACTATTGTGCGCACTTAACTTTCGACAGGGTAGTCGGTAATATTTAACGGGCGTCGTCACTCCGTTTTCAGTTCACTGAACACCACGACGGACCTGGCCGCCTCGTCTAGAGTCCACGCCTGTCTGCGCTCCATCGGCCTCTCGGGCGGGACTGAGCGAGGCGGACGACGTTGCGCGCGGAACTCGACTCCACACCCCCGCCGATGTTCCGTCGGCCAGTGTGTGCTCAATCAAAGCACGTACTGTTGTGTGCTCAGCAACTGTGCGACCGCACAGTGGCTGTTGTCTGTTCAAATGCACGTGAATACATTCTCATTACGCGTTGGTAGCCTAGTTTGCCGACTGAGAGCAGAATAAGCCGAGAGTAGTGAAAAAACCGCCTCGTGGACAACTCTGGCTCGTTGGAGACGAGCAGACCCGGGGACATTCCCTCCCGTGGCCAACGTGAGATCCAGCCGCAAAAGTCTGTCGAATCACCGTCCTGAAGCGGTATCAACACAAATGCACTTGCGTTGGCACGGACACAACTTTATACGACCAGCGACGCAACCAGGGTCTTGGTAAAGGGAGGGGCAGAGGATTAACAATGCCCCTCCTGATGATGAAAGTCCCCCAAAATAATCACCGGGTATTATCCATATTCAACTTTTTAGTTCCGGAAAAGAAACAAGAAACTACCGTAAAATAACCTTAAGTTTTCATATTTGAAGTAAGTTAACTGGAGAAAGGGGGCGCACAATGGCTGCGCGGAATAACCCAGCGACGCCATTCGTCCATTGTTGGTTCAGCAAACACATTCTAAGAGGATAGAGCTCAAAGGCTTTGCCATATTTTTCTGAGGTTTCCTCGAGACTATGGATGCCTCATAGGCAAAGCACGGTGACATGCTGGTTAGTGTTTTTAGGCGGACCAAGAGAAGCAGTGGATTTTATAGGCCAGGACACCCATCGGTACCCAAAGGGAAACGAAATGAGTTGGGCTAGGCACAGACTTCGGAAAAACCGCGGATACGGATTGGAGTATGGGTAAAGCGCTGATGACATCTCGGGTAAATGCTTAAAAATAATTTTCAATACTACTGGCTAAGGTTCTTTTAAGTCACACTTACCTCAATCCACTCTACGTTTGCAACTATAAACGGAATTATAAACTTTCAGGTAAACATTCCTCAAGCTCTTACACCACCTAGAACTAGAGTCCCGCCAAATTGAAAGCGGCTGGGTAACGGGTGGGTTCAGGAATGGGCAGCGTGTGGGTATGGGCCACGGCCCTATGGGTAGCGAATTGTTTGGCGAAGGGGATTTCAACTCGCAAACACCTCTAGCAGATAATTAAACGAGCTGAATTTTCACATCCAAGGTTGGAAACTTGGATCTTGGTGGTGCAGTTTCTGTGGGCAGACATTTTTGGGTGTTTCTTACCAGTCAACTAGAGGACGTCATGGCTTGAAAAAACATTGATAGCAATATGTATGAGTAACAGGCTGGGGTGCGCACTTGTTTTGAAGAATTCTGGGCATGATAACAGGTTTTGCTTAAAATTTAACCAATTATGATAAATACATCTCAAAAAACACTCTACAACGTTGTTTCTTCCACTTTTAGTGTGATAATGAGCTTAATTCACGCTAACTTTACAATTATCAACACAGGTATTTAGTCTAGGTGTTAACTTGAATTTGCATAATATAGCACCAAAGTGCTGACAAAATTCAAGTGTGTCGGTGACCGATGGGCACTGTTCATTTTGTATGAGTGGCCGACTGGTGCAGGCACAGCCCCTGGGTTCGGGTGAGTTAGGTAAACAGAATCAGAATATGACCATTGACCGCTTGTGCGGTCAACACCCATATGAGCTTTCATAAATTGGCAGAAAGTTGAGGCACAGCCCCCGTCCCCAACGGGTCCAATCGTTCCGGTGCCCCGTCCCATCACACTTATTTTTATTGGGAAGAAAATCCTAGGTGTATCGCAAAGGAGCCTAAATCCTTCCGTTTCAAGGGACACCAAATTCCAGGGGCAACACGGAGGGCCGAAAAACTTCATTTGCAAGTAGCAAAATCCAGCGCCGCCAACACATGAACTTGAAAACGAAATGGAAGGAATCCAAGGGCCTTCGGGCGCACCAAATTCCAGAGCACACCAAAATTACGCCTGATCCTGGCCATGACGAGGTGTCGGACTCACCCAGTGCAATATTATCTAGTTCTAATCAATGTTCGCGAAGAGGGCCTCACCCCGTTTGACAGCACACCTCTTAAGATTCAGAGAGAAAAGTGCATCTACATTAACCGTTTGACTGCATTTTCAGAGACCGCCTAATGTTCGGAGTATCCTACCAGAATGAATACAGCGTCCATGCGAAATGTCTGTGAAGGGTTTCAATAGCACGCAAGGCCCACGGGTAAACGTAAACCACCACTGAAACGATGTTTTTACGTGGCGAGCTGGCGAGGACATGTCAGAGTTATTTGCGACAGAATTTGACTCATCTCCTTGTTTGATGTTCCCACATCCACGGCGGCGGCTCATGAAGAGAGCGGTTTGTCGTAGGTCACTCATTTCCAGCGTTCCTCGCCCTTATATCGTGTGGATTCTAAACGTCATGGGGCTTATAGGCAGAGCCAGAGGTTACATAAGTGACTGACGTCTTACTAAACATTGGGCATTTAATTCACCCGTAGGTCAATGCTCTACTACAGGAACATAGTGAAAAACCAAGTCATTCATCTCCATACTGCCAAGTATATGAAACATTCTTGCGTGTTGCATGGATGCCCGCGCAAGCTGCAGGAAAAACGACGCTTTGCGTATCTGCCCACACGTTCATGATGAAGTCATATTTCGTTTGCGGTCGTGTAGATGATCGATTTGTTTATTTGAGGTGAGCTTTTGCCATATACCGGCCACTTGATTCCAATGTTCCGGCGCTCTTGTGACTCTGATGTCGCAATTTATCTTCCACCTTTCTGATGCCGAAATTCGTTTTTGCAACGCTGACGGCATATGATATATATATATATATATATATATATATATATATATATATATATATGTATGCTTGTGCATACCGTCACAAATGTACACGTGTGTTGTTATACACCAGCCTATGCCGACAAGTGCTTCAAATGATATAGACAAAACCAATCTCAAATTACATGGTTCAAACATATACATTGATATACGCCAATACGCTCAAATTGGCTGCGTGTCGTTTCCTGTGCAGCCAACACGTCACGTCGTCATATGTTTACACGTCAACACGTCATCTCGGGCACCCTCTTTGCCAACGTTGTAACTTTGCACATATGCTTTGTGTTTACACGTCAACACGTCAACACGTGCACCCTCTTCGCCAACTTTGGTGCACGTCCTTGGTAAAGAAACCTTTCCTCATAATCCTTACTAACTTATGCATGAAGCTGTCAATGGATAAGCGATGAGCGAAGAGAAGCCGGGGAAACATAAATGGATGTGTCAAAGTAATTAGACATGTGCAGGTGAAATGCAGTTTTAAGCATGCCTTTCATTGTAAGAGGCATTTCTTTACATTGCTTAGACGACTTTCTGGAAGTTGTGGGTACAAGCAGGGATATTCAGCTTTAAAAAGCTGTTCTATCAAATCCTTTATAACGGGGACAAATAATTCCGCGGGGGGGGGGGGAGGGCGGTATTGTAAGCCGTCAGTTGATGAAATTCAATTTGACACATTATTAACCTATTTTCAAAGCATATTTTCTGCAGGCTTTGTGGAAAATTACTACTCCTAAATATTGTATGAGAGCATGCAATATTTCATATTAATCAAAATGCGTCAGTCATTCGCCATTAATACGTATACAACATATGCTCAATAGACCATTGCTTAATTACGTCATCGTACCTTGCGCAGCATTACGCGAGGGTTAATTGAGGCCGTTATTTCAGGAAATGGCGATCACGAACGCCAGATCTGAACAACAAGACAACCAATTTCTTTACTTGGCTTTGATCACCGCTTGGCTTTAAGAATGGCAAGACTTAAATGACGTTGCCATAAGATGATGACAGCCTGGGTAAACTTCAAAAAGTCACAGAAACATCTGTACGTCTTCGCGGGCATGTAGCTCACAAACTAGAGGGGCCTAGGTCTTAAGAAGGGCAGGTCTATGAACTGCACCATACCATCTTCAAGGCTGGTGTTTCAGTTAAAACCACAGAACTGCAAAACACTTACATAAAGCAAATAAGCATTTAGAGAGAAGTACATCGTCGAGTCTGACCAAACCAGCCAGCGAAGCAAACTCCAGCCACGCAGCGAAACGTATCAGCAGGTGGAACTCAGTTACCGAAACCAACGGCACATCTTTGCTAACTCATGTGCGGGACCGAGCCACCATTCCATTTGGTCCAACCGACCCTAGACGAAATATCACTGCGAGCTCGGGCCCGTTCTTTATGATCGGTATCCCCTTCATGATCTGCATTCCGCGCGCGGCGACTCTTGCGGCGGGGTTGCGCTGTGACGTCATAACCGTGTGGGGGTCGGTGCCAGCCCGGGGCGTCTCGCCGGCCCCGATATAAGCGGGTGCGGGCAATTGCTCTGCAGTCAGTTCTGCAGCAACAGCAGCATCACACCTTCGCCATGGCCTTCAAGGTAAGCCAACCCAGTACAGCCTGCCCGGGTTTCGGAAACGCGCCCTCAATTTGATTGCTTGCTTGTTTCTACAAAGTTTTGTCAACTTTTCCTATGACTGCATCGGTCTTCACTTATATTTGCCGAGCACGTATCAAGCTCAACCTGTCTGTCTGCCTTCTGCCTTCGCTTATGCAAAAGCGGTCAGCATGCAAGAGCCAAAGTCCGTTTGGGGCTGTTCATCTGTTACGTTCTGCAGGGATAGATATAGGGGCTTTGATGGAGGGTACCAGACGCGTATCAAGATGCAGAAAGATTGAGCAGGGGAACGCCACGCTCGTGTGTGGCTGAAAATCTTGCCAGAAACTTTCTTAACGTTTTAAAACCTTAAAAGTACGGTACATGGCCTTCTCTCATGATGGGCAGGACGCCAGATTTTGTAGTCCACCTCTAGCTCCATTAGGGACCAAATAAACGGTAACTTTTTGGAATGTTACACTTAACACAGCGCATCCAGGGTAGGGGTTTTTGAGCAACGTAACAGTGCGTAACCATGTAAGAACGTCTGCAGGGGAATGGAAACCACAAAACTGCGTGACCGAACGGCATTTACGCCAACAATTTCGCTTAACGCCGCCAGCCACGTGCAATACTCGGCCGCGCTCTCCCAGTTCCGGCCGACCGCGCCTCTGACGTCACTAGTACACTCCG